GGGAGCAGTCATGAGTGGCCACCCTGCCCGTGGTCTGTGGAGTGGTCGCCATCTCACGAGGCACATCAATTGCCTGGAGATGCTGGCCGTGTTTCGAGCCCTCAAACACTTTCTTCCAGACCTAAGAGATCACCATGTGTTGGTGCGCACCGACAACACAGCGGTGGTCTTTTAGATCAACCACCAGGGAGGTCTACGTTCGCGTCCCTTATACAAGCTGGCGCATCAGATCCTTGTGTGGTCCCAGGGCAAGCTCCTCTCGCTGAGGGCAGTTCATATTCCTGGGCATCTCAATATGAGAGCAGACATCCTGTCGAGGCAGGGGCCGAGGCCCGGGGAATGGATGCTTCACCCCGAGGTGGTGAAGCAGATATGGAGAGTTTTTGACCAGGCTCAGGTGGACTTGTTTGCGACTCAGACGACATCGCAATGTCCTCTCTGGTTCTCTCTGACTCATCCAGCTCCACTGAGGCTGGATGCTATGGTACATACTTGGCCGAGGCTTCGTCTGTACGCCTTTCCCCCGATCGCTCTGCTCCCGGGAGTTCTAGAGAGAGTGCGTCGGGACGGGGTCCGCCTATTGCCAGTAGCCCCGTTCTGGCCGGGGCGAGTATGGTTCTCGGACCTGATTTCTCTCCTCGACGGCACTCCATGGGAGATTCCCGTCAGGAGGGATCTGCTCTCACAGGCGAAGGGTATAATCTTTCCCCCCCGCCCAGAGTTATGGAAGCTGTGGGTGTGGCCCCTGAGGGGGCACAACTCATAGCATCTGGTCTCTCAACCGAGGTTGTTGAGACCATCCTCCAATCTAGAGCTCCTTCAACGAGGAAACTGTACGCCCTGAAGTGGAGGCTCTTCACTTCATGGTGCGGAGACCGCCGGCTTGACCCAGTTAACTGCCCGATTGGTACAGTGCTGGAGTTCTTGCAGGCCCGTTTCTCCACAGGGTTAACCCACTCCACCCTGAAGGTGTACGTGGCGGCTATAGCGGCCTACCACGCCCCTCTGGATGGTCACTCAGTGGGCAAGGACCCCCTGGTTACACGTTTCCTTGCCTATGAGTCCTCTGATCTCCCCTCACCATTGGGGGTCAAGGCTCACTCAACAAGAAGTGTGGCGGCCTCCAAGGCCTTTCTCGCAGGAGTTCCTATGCAGGACATCTGCAACGCTGCAGGATGGTCTACTCCCCTCACATTCGTCAGGTTCTATGACCTAGATTTGCGAGCCACTCCAGGCCCCTCTGTTCTCTTGCCATAGCTGTGCTCTTCCACACTAGGCAGGGATTTGCAAGTCTGGCGGCGTGGACATCTCGTTCCCCTAGCGTTTCCAACGCAGCTCGAGTTCTCGAAGGGAACAAGACGCTGCGTCGCAAGGCCATACTTCCGGCATCCCTACTAGAGCTTGCTTCACTCCTAAGAAGCTAACGCCGGCTGTACCTCACGTGCTTTTAAAGCTTCCTGGTCATGATGTCACCCGCCTCTGACATCCTGCCCATCGATTCGACTGATTACACATATGATTCAGAGCTTGGTATCGCTGAAGGCGTTCCCCTAGCGTTTCCGACGCAGCGTCTCGTTCCCTCGGGGAACCATGGTTACATATGTAACCTTGGACGTTTTGTTACATATCATGCTGTTAAATTAATGTTAATTGCATTGTTTGTGTGCACCTTCCATATGTTTGTATTTACCTCAGCTTGTGGAAAAGCTACTTTGATTCAACATTAAGGTGGTTGTCAGTGTATTATGATGATTTAAATTGTATATATTATATACAAAACAGATTGTAGTACATTGGTTTATTAACATTATCTCAGTTAATGAAATATACCTTTTATGCACTGTAATTTTAAGTTCAATCTGTACATTTTAAATGTTGCTTCCATATTTTTACAGTAAAATTCTGGCAACCACAGCTGCTGTTTTTTACCATTAATTATTTGTGTATGATAGTGAGATACACATGAAAGCCATTCATAATACCAGTGGACTTTAGTCAATGCATTTTTATTACTTTATTAGGTAACACTTTAGGGACCAGTTCTCACTATTAAATAGTTGCTCATTAGCATGCCTATTATTAACATACTGGTTGTTTATTAGTGCTTATCAAGCACATATTCTGCATGACCATATTCTACATCCCTAATCCTACCCAATACCTAAACGTATATAATTATTATTTATGCAAAGTTTGGAGTTTCTTTGTCGAGTGGAATGTTTTATCAGCTGAATAATCATAATCGTAACATAATAATATGACTAACAGTTTCAACTGGCTCTTTTCCATTCCTGACATTTTCATTTTAATTTGAGTCAGCTACTACTACCTAGAATAATGTGATGAGTAAAACGGATGTGTGAGACTGAGAGGCTTGAGCAAACATTGGCTATATTTCTGCTTCCTCTGAGTGTTTGTCAGATTGAGTCCGTGTGTGTTGATATTTGATTGACTCACCCGTCTGTGAGGAGCGGAGAGGACCTCAGCGCTGTCACTCAGGTACTTGGCCTCTTCCTCTGTGTAGCTCCTTCGATTCAGACCCCTCCTCCAAACAGGAAGAGCAGGTTGGCAACCCATGTCACCATCTGTCCAAAATAAAAGATACAGTTTTATTATCATCAAAACACACTATGAGGTGTGTTCATAAACTATTATGAACAATTATAAATGTGCTGTCCATGACTAAACTCTAGACTCTCTGAAGGGTGTGGTTTGTACTTAAACATACAGTACATTAGCTCTGTTTTCCTGCCCACCAAAAATCCCTGAGATATGATTTTTCTCTCTATATGGAATTCCAGAAATTCCGCCTATAGCTGAAGTATTCATTTCCCATTTCTCCAGAGACTAATGTTTGGTTGCCCACCCACCTGACAACACCCACCTGGAACATGAGATGGAAGAAAAGCAACCAGGAAAAACATGTCTACGTGCAACGTGGACAGCAAGGGGTTAATCTATTTATCTATCTATCTGTTGATTGATCTGTCTGTCTATTATATTCTTATATAATCTTCAAACTTGAAAAAAAAAATTCAACTTTCAGGCATGGCTTTTTCAAACCAACATTCAAAGTTTGTCTTGCACTTGAATTCATGCTTTAGTTTATGTGCTTATATAATTCATTCCGTTATCAGATTACTATTAGGCATAGATAAGCCTGCTCCTTGCCTTACAAACATTAGGCTTTTTCAATAGGGGCTCCAGCCAGTGTAAACACAGATTAATCTTAGCACTTAGTGTATGACTCCAGGTGTGTTTGCACACTGACCTCCCATGGCTGCCCTGAGGGGGATGCGCGTGACCTCAGGGATTGTGCTGAGGTCAGACAGTGTGCCGCTTGATGCCGTCAGGCTGTAGTGGTCACTGCGAAAGTGTCTCTTGAGCTCTTGGAAGGCCAAGCTGGCTGCTCCACAGCTACAGTGCTGCATGAAGAAGTCCTGAAAAAGAGAGTTGGGATTATTAATGCAGATAGCAGCTCGGATAATTTGGTATTTAAACAATGAGAAGGTTTGAGTTCATATTAAGAAGCAAGAGTCCTCATTTGCTCTCTATTTTATTCTATTGTTCTCTAGGAGAAACAATTCCAATAATAAAGACATCTCAGTTGCAATTTTTCATTCCTATGGGGAACATTTAACTCTCAACAGTTGCAATCGAGACAAAATCAAAATGACCCTGAATTGCTTTTCCAGTGGGAAATGTCTTTATCTGGGTCACTATTTTAAGCATTTTCCTCATGTATCACACATCATCGCTTGGACCACCTGAACAGCTGAAATCCGCTAGTGTCATTTCCACCAATTATTCTTATTGTTTACACTATTTGCCTCCCAACCAAACGTAGAGTGTAGTAGATATTTTGAATACTGTGTATTAAGATGCATATAGAGTCTTTGATCCATTCCTCTGAAAAGTTTTTAACCTCTGAAAATAACATGGCAGTGTTTCTTGTCAGTCAGAGTGATAAGACGCTTCCCAAATCTCTGTTTATCCAAGATTATCCTCTTCGTTCCATTGCATTAGTATTTGCGTGGTAAACGCTGTCTGACTGATGAGGTGATGATGCCAAGGCGGATGCTGTTTGTTGAGGATTTTATGTTGTTGTTGCAATACAGATTCCTTTGAAAGCATCTCTGCATCGTAAAGATTCTTGATGTTTTCGAAAAAGAAAGAAGCATATGCTCTGAACGTGGACTGAAGATGAAAGAATTCACCTTAAATGTCCCATAAACCAAAACACCAGATGCTTCGACCTGATGTGATGGAGCGCATCTGTTCATTGGATCGGTCATGGCTGATAACTGAGGAGATCAGGGTGTAAAACTAACAAGAGAGACAGAGGACACTACAATGGTGGTAATTGCATACTGTCTGAGTTCTGAATGCTTTTTATGAGTACAGATGAAAGTGTGCTGTGAGGGTGGGTAAAACAGCCAGGGAGGAGACTGGCGAGACAGCTTGGTCCATTATAGTGGAGACTGGGGCACCTTTCAGAGTTCCCCTTTTGCCTTTTGATGTGTGTAACAGCATGTTGCTGCCTGTTGCTTTTTCCCCAAAGACACACACAGCCCAGAGAATCTAAAAGACCAGTCAGGGAGTTCAAGAAGGGTGGTCCACAGAATATTCCTGTGTGTCACAGTTTTTCTGTTTGGAATTATAAAGAATAAAGGATTCAACATTCTGGATTCACTGATCTTTTTTTGGCTCCTTAACGATTCCATTAACAATTCTTTCAGTATTTTTGACTGATTCTAAGGGATCATTCAGTTTAAGACTTTATCAACCTGAAGAGATTTTATCAACCTGATTTCATGAGAAAACACAGCTATTTTAAAAGTGTGCAATTTTGTAAAAAAAATGCATGATTTGTATACAATCTATGTTTAAAGCTCCCCGAGAGTTAGAGAGCAGATACATACAAATGCATATGATTTTGCAACAAATCAAAACGTTTATACACTGAGACGTGAGACTGTGTTGGATCTTTAAGTCTTTTTGACCATTTCAAAAATCGGGTTCATGAGAGTCATTCATTCATTCATTTTACATTTTTCACGCTGTATATTTGTTGTGTGTGACCTCTGGGGACAGTGCAATATAAAGTTGTCTTGTCCATTTATTGTCTTTACTGTCATGCTTGCATACTTCTACTGGACTGAATGTTGTCAGAATCATTCACTTCCAGTATTTTAAACGAATGCAATCAGTTCTTATTCAGAACCTAAACCTAAAACAAACAATATGCATGTTTGGGTTCTGTAAAGAAGAACCTTTTTTTAAATGTTCTCCTTTCTTTTGCCTGTCTTTCTCTCTTGCTTTCTTTGATAACTTTGAAGTGCAGGCTCCCACTGAGCTCACTCACTGTGACAGTGGAAGTCTTTTCCGGCCCCAGGGCCCGAACTGACAGAGCCAGTTTAGAGATGACTCTCTGAAAAACCATGAACAAAACTATTCTCATTCAACAGCACAGAGTCCAGAGGCCAGGAAGATGTCTACACAATATAATTCCACTGCCTTTAGTCAGTAAGCAAAGGACTAGAGCAGCGGGAGAACTGGGGTACAAGACGGGCAAATGGACAGCTGCATTAATTAAAATATAGATTCCAAAAATTATATTAAAAATAAAGATTCCAAAAAGGAATTTGTGCAAGTGCAGTGCAATATAAGAACTATTCTCGGTTCCCCAAAGAACCTTTCAGTGCGCAGTTCTTAAAAGAAGCATTTTTTTAATACTGATTTTATATGACAATACATAACTTTAGCTAAATAACTGAATGTTGCAAATAAATTTGAGGACGTTTTCAGTGAATTTCCACTTTAATGGAAATTAGGTATGCACACATTTTTCTAACCTGTATTCGCTTTTAACAGAGATAAGTTCCCTTTAGCCTCAACATTTTGGAATTACTAATTTTGGAGCGGTTCAAATCCAAAGGGAGAAACAAAGGCCGACATGTTAGAAAAACACCCATAACTTCACAAAACATTGTAAAACATGTTGATATTTTTCCTGTGGTTTTGGGCTGATAACATTCAAGCCAGATGCACCGTCTTGTTCTGAGATGGGAAAACAAAGACGCAGTGCTGAGTTCAGATTTTTATGGGTTACACGTTGTTAACTCAATTGAATCCGAACAACTTTATGATTAACCAGAATTCCTTCTCATTTCGGCATTTTGCAGTAAATAAATGACATAATCCTTTCTGTTTACCAGCATTTTTAGTTAAGCATATTTATTTTTGTTAAGTTTATATTAATGTCCATCTGCTTTTCAATCCCATCTTTAATCAAACAAAATACATTTCATGCCTGAGTGAGCTTCTCTCAATGACCCACAAAACAAAGACACAGGAAAAGACTTTCGTCCAGAATAATGTCAACACGGGCACATAAGAACAAATTAAATCCATGTGAGGGGACATCACATCCTTTGAAACGAATACCCCATCTGCGTATGGGTGGAAAAGGGCTGAACCCAGCAGCTCTATTTGTTAAATACGTTTTTATCCGTCTTGATCAAAAACCCCTAAACCCCAGTCAAACCAGCTGGATTTACACTGACACAGTATGAACCAATAATCCCTTGCCCTAGGCATCAATATAGGGTTTAACCCACAACAAATCATAAATCCAAGACGTCATCTTTTATACTCAGACCTACAGCAGTGCCTTTTAATCAATTTCAGATTGAGAATTATGGTGTGTTTCCAAATCTTCATCCACACAAGTATATGAATCAGGTAAGCCGGGGCTGTCCATACCTGCTCCTGGAGGGCCAGTGTTCTGCAGAATTTAGCTACAACCTACTTGACAAAATATTTCTAGTACTCCTGAAGACCTTGTTTAGCTGATTCAGGTGTGTTTCAACAGTATTGTAGCTAAACTCTGCAGGATAGTAGCCCTCAGGAGCAGGCACGTGCACATATAGACATCAAAGGGGGCTTGAGCACCTGCCCTTTTTCTTCCTCAAGAGAAAGTGCCCTTTTTTCTTGGGGAGTTTTTTTTTTAATGAATATATGTATATATGTGTGCGCGTGTTTCTGTTTGCGCACAGCTTTCCCAAACAAATAAAACAACTCGAGTTAATAGTCGAGTTCCGATGCCTTTCTCCTCGTCTCTGCAGCACAGCAGTGTAGTGCACATTGATAGGCACATCACAGACAGACATAGAGCCGCAGAAGTGAAGCCCTCCCTCCCTTTCCAGTTGTGTTTGTCTTACTGTGGAAGTGAGTGGTGATGAACAAAAGACTAAAAAGACTAACAAAAGCTATCTGTGCCTCGAATTTACAGCTAATTATACAAAAGGCAAATATAGTTAATTTGTCTTGCTAACATCCATGACTCGTGAGAGAGAGCTACCATATAAGTTAGCTAAGGCAATAGGAAGTCTAGTAGGCTACACCAGTGCGCGTTCTTTCACTGCATGATTCAGTTTATTAAAATGCATTTAGAATGATCAGAAAATTCAAGATATGGGGGAAGAAATTTATATATTTATTTCATTTCATATAGTTAATCAGTATCACGCAAATGTAATATTGATTTTATACATCAGTTCAATGAACAAGAATTTAATATTGAGACACTTGCGTTGTTGACACAATATTGACTGTCCTTGCACTATTTTCGCCAACAGATATAATTCCAATTTGCGTCTCTGAGCAACATGATGGTTTTTCGTTCCTGAATGAATCAACCGTTTAAATTATTCGGTTCAGTCGCAATGACTCACTTATTAACAGTGACTTGCTGCCACCTACTGACAGTTTTAATTTCACATTTAAAGTATCTTTTCATTTTTGTTTTTTATAATTTCAAATATCAGTATTCAACGATTTCTGTTTAAAATATCAAAACAGGTTAAAACATGAATGGCCTGCATTAAACAGCGTGTAAATGCATCTAAATGCCCCTTCTAATGCAGCTTCTGTTTTCTCTGCATTGCAAAGATTAATTTTGTCAATACTGATTTCATTTGCTTGGTAACAGCCCAAATGACTCATTAATCTAATTGACTGATTCAATTTAAGAATTTGACTGAAAAGATGATGCACACTTTTAGAAAAAAAATGGCTTAAAAAGGTAAAAATGCCCATAAAAGGTAAAAATCAATTTAAACTTATTGGAAAAGATTAATTTCTATCACTGCTGTGAACTGACCACTACACAGAATATGCAGAATATCAAAAACTTTAGGAGTCAGCTGTCTTCGGCAGTCCTTAAGATACCAGCACAATAATACACTCAGCAAAATATCGTCTAATTATCGTTATCGATAAAATCCCAGAAAATATTAAGATACATTTTTTGTCAAAATCGCACACCCCTAATATATTTAACGTTTTGTTTAGAAAAAAATTTAAATAAATATGAGAAGTGCCCTTTTTTCCACTTGAGCCCCTGCCCCTCAAAATGTCTGTGCACGTCTCTGCTCAGGAGTAGGATTGGACACCCTTGAGGTAAGCTCATAAAGACTAATGCTGGGATTGATACCTCTTTAGCCTTGATCACCCTGCCTTCCTTCTGCAGGCCACAGATCTGTTTCTGTAGTCGAAGGTTGTGTTCCTGTAGCTGTCCGATCTTCTCTATGAGCTGGCAGATGTGCTCTAGGTACCCCAGTCCAGAGCCCAGTGGGTTGGACTGATTGGCTTGGTTCACCTGGTTGTCAAGACAAAACAGAGATAAAATCATTTAAGTTTTTATAATAAAACCAAAAAAGGGGGCTGTAAACATTCACACAGGACACTAGAACTGCACCCTTGGGAAAAGACCCCCACCCCCCTCTGGACAATAGATTGGTTCTAAATAAAGGGATTACTGGAGATGTTTATGTACACCATTGGGGGTTAAGCAACGTTTGTGGAACAAGCCAACAAGAACAGTGTGAACTGCATCCTATTGTTTGAAAGCCAATGACTCATTTGACGTGCTAATGAGCACAGAGCAAAGCCAAGGCTCCTACAGTTCATTCCAGGAGCATGACAGCATGTGTTCAGGTGGACCTGAGGTTCACAAACTGATGACGGCAGCACCATGATCTCCACCCATTATTTAACACTACAAGTATTTTTACTATCTCTGTGGAATTCTTAATGGGATTTATTACAGCTCTCGAAACACATTTAGACAATAAAGATTGGTCTAAATACAGTTTGCCAACTACGCCGCTGCCTTTTATTACACAATCTGACACATTCTAGGAAACCAGATATCATTAGACCACTGTACATCATTTATTTCAGCCAAGACTGACACTGTTATGTAATGAAATTGGTTTATGAAAACAAATCCCAAAATTCCAATGTAGACAATGTCAACTGAAAGCTTGAAAAATTGAAGGTTAGTGGTTTGAAGGTGTGAATGATTGGTGGGAAACATGTTAGGTGCTATAGTTTATTTGTTGAATCATCCTTCCATCTTTGGTTGTAAAGCTGCAGATGCTCACGTTTTTCAAATAATTCAAAGGAAATTTTGAACAAATATTTATACAATCATCAACATTCCTAAAAGTGTCCCAACAAAAGCAGGATGTGAGTTCAGGTCTCGGGCTTTTTCCCTCCGAAAGCTTTTCCGTGCCACTTACGTCCAATCCAGTCCCAAAGCCCAGCATTAATGGAAACGCAGAAGCTAAACAATAGAGGACATGACGGAGAGATGAAATACTAGGAGCTGACATCACTCGTTTCCTCACACAGAGTGTGAGATCCTCGGCAGGTCATGCTTCTACTCACTTGACCGTAAACATTTCTCATGCTTTTCTAGCAACCTTGCACTTCCATCAAATGTCCATTATTGCTTTAAATGGGTCATATAAGATGATTCTTTATTTTATCCTAATATCCAACTTATAAAACATGTACAAAAAATGATAGAAGGGCTTTGTTAAAAGTAAAGCCACTAGTGTCTGACATTGGGATTCTTCATATGTTGAGTGAGGAAAGTTATAGTACACTATAAGAAAAAAAAATTTTGTACTGGATTTGACCAAAAATTGCATATACTTTCTTTACTTCTGTCAATACAAATGTATTTAAAAAATACTGTGTAAGCTAGATGCTTGTCTGATAAGAAAGCCCTTGAGGCTCTTGAGGCTCTTTCAAGCTTAGACTTGTTTAGATCATGTGAATGAAATGCAGTCTTTCTCTCATTTGTAGTATTGAAAGCCAGACAGGTGGCACATACCAGGTGCTCTCTCATAAAACGAAAACCAGCTTGATGTGGGGTAGCTAGAGGAAAGAAACTTTGCCAGGCCTTTATGAATGCAGAAACATGACAGATCTTATCTGCTTCCTCTGCCTAAGATCCCCAGTGACCCAGGAGAAGGGAAGACACAAACGTTTGGGAAAGCCCCACTCCCTTCCTCTCCCTCCTTCTCTTCTCAATGTGAAAGAATCTGCGTTTCTCACGTGCGTTTCTGCACAGACACAGAAACAAAGCGGGGAATGTTGTCCTATACAAAAAAAAGAAAACATGGAGATCATTTTCTATAAAGCTGTTAACACTTAAGCGTGACATTGTGGTTATTGATAGTGTATTGATGCTGTGGGTGGATTTTAGCTCTCTGTGCTGTGAGGATGTGGTTTTTTAACCACACACTGAAGATCAAAACAAACTGAGGAAAACAATTATGCATATGCCTCTGGGTTGAATTGCAAGAACAATATTTTTCTAATTACATAAGCTCTGTATTACCAAATATGAGGGAATATATTATAAAGCCATTCAGGCGAGTCTGAGAAAATAATCCTTTATTATTTGAAATATTTCACTGGGTCAGTTATAAAGCAATACTAAGCATGACTCAGTGGAGAGGAATGCAGAACCATATGTGGGCTGTATTCAAAGATACAGGAAAAGGTGTTTTATATAGGTTTTTTATAGTCTTTAATGCTGACTAGAACATTAAAAAATGGTGCCTTTTTTAAGTTTTTTATGCATTTTCAATGAATTTATGTATGCATTTACACATTTTATGTGCTTAACAAATGATGTAAAATTAATCTGAAAATCTAATAATAATTTGTTATATTTATATAGCGCTTTTCTGGGTACTAAAAGCGCTTTACATGAAAGGGGTGAATCAGTGTGCAGCATCCACCTGGATGACGCAACGGCAGACATATTGTGCCAGAAAGCCCACCACACACTAGCTTATTGGTGGAGAGGAGAGTGATGAAGCCAATCAGTGTATGGGGATGATTAGGAGGCCATGAGGGTCAGGGGCCAATGGGCAAATATGGCCAGGATGCTGGGGTTACACCCCTACTCTTTTTTGAAGGACATCCTGGGATTTTTAATGACCACAGAGTTTAGCGTTTAGGACCTCGGTTTAGCGTCTCATCCGAAGGAGGTAATAAGAGGTTTGTGATGTTTTTTTGAACAATGAATCATTTGTCGTGACACAAATGATTCACTGAATCAATTTAGTGAATCAACATTTTGAATAATTGCTGATTCAATAATTCAACAATTAGGTTTGTCCTAATGCTCTCATGGGACTAGTTTACTTTAGATTTTGAGGAAACTTAGGCCTGGGACACACGAGACATCCCTTTTCAATATCCTCTTCCTCAGGCCACAGAGCTCCATTTAACAGGCAAGGGAATTATCTTATTAGCTTTGGTGACAGGTGATGATGAGGGCCGAGTTTACCGCACCGGCAACCTGTCATCGCAGCTCCCATAAAGTCCACCATTCGTCAAAAAATGTCCAGTCACAAAGACCTAGGAGCTATCAAAGAGGCATTATTTGGGTAAATATGTGAGTAATTTGAGCTATTTGACACCTGTTTGATGCATCCAGGGAGGCTTGGACGAGTATGGTGGACTGAGGGACACAGTCCAGATGAGAGACATTGGCTGTTCCAGCTGTAATCGCCGTTGCCATCTGCATGCTCTCTCAACACAGATGAACAGGTGCTGTGTGATATGCCGAGTTAAAAGGGGAGAGATCTGTAGCGCACCCCGCATTACATCCTCTCAGCTCTCAATATACTGTACTCCAACACACAATCTCACTCATTGACCTTTTGTGGCTGCAGTGGTTATCAGCAATTACATCATTAGATATACCACATGGTTGCAACAGTCCGTAAAAGATTGACCAATCCAAATTAAACAGTTCTCAATTGGTGTGTGACACAGAAATTAAAGATGGGTTATTATTGGGTAGCAGACAGCAGAATCCAGGGAAAAAAGTGCTATGATGACTATACAGGCCTACTTGTAAGTGTTGTGCCTTCATCATTAAAAAGCATGGAAAAACTACTAAAGGTAAAATGTGACCCAGACTATGTTAAATACTTGTTCCCATGTAACAAGGATAAACATGGTTTATGCCGACCACAATGTGTTTTGTGTGGTGAATTGTTGGCTGCTCAGAGTTTAAAAAGAATTTAAGACACATTTAGAAACGAAACACTCAAAATGCAAACACAAGCTTTTGATTTGAGTATCTCTAAAACAAAGCTGCATTATCTGAACATAATTCAGTACATTTTAATAAAAAAAATGCATAATATTATTTATTCAAATCCAAAAGAACTTTTAGATTTTAGACAGAAACAATAGTTTGTTAAACTAAGGCTAACACTTTAGAATACTGCTCCGTCATTAACTAATTGCATAGGAACAAATGACTAATGCACTATTAACATTCTAGTAACTATACTATTAACTAACAAGAAACTCTAATTAATGATTTAGAAAGTAATAGTGCTCAGTTGAAAGTGGTAGTTCACTATTAGCTAATCAGTAACTACTATTTTTTTCATATATCCCAGAGACCTACCTATACGTTACAGGTTTATAATGAATGTGAATTATGCATAATGTATCATTAACAACCATTTAATCCCACTGGTCACAATAGTGACAGTAAAGAAAGTTATCATTTATAAAGCTCTAATGTTACTGGCTGGTGTTTTAGTGCATTTTCTGCAAATATGGAAAAAAAATAAAGGGTCTCAAATAAATATGTGCAGTTTCACATGTTTAGTGCAAATTGTCACATGACCAGATCAGTTTACTTACTGTTTGCACCATGAGATGATTATGGCTGCATCAAAGCTCCAAAACAAAAGGCTAGTAATGTATGATAACATAAAGATATGACAAAGATTTTTGGTACACATTATCTTTAAGGTGTCTATATTAATATATGAATTCACAAGTATTCAGTTTTGTTGAGTGTGGACATAGAATGAGTAAACTTGTTGATGGCAACAATAGTGACCGGTGGGATAATAACTTTATATATATATATATATATATATATCTTAGTATACTTATTCAGTGTTGTATAATGGTTTTATGTATAATAGTAACCATAGAATGTGATGAAATAGTTTAAAATGGGTTAATAACTGGGCTGATATATAAACGAATTTTGATGACTGCAGAAATAATTTAATTTCAGTATACACATTATCCCACCGGTCACAATTGTGACCAACCATCAAACATATATATATATTGATTATGTCAAGGGGTTACTAATGACACATCATTTTGATATTTTCATGTCTGAGAA